TTTAGTGCCGCCGTGTCCGCCGCGCACAAGGCAAAGGACATGGACCAAGTGGCCTACGAAGAATCGTGCTCGCGCTGCCAAGACATCTTCAAAACTAAAGGTTCTGTATCCGGATGTCGACACCATGCTGGTAGAGGTCGTTTGTCGCGCTTGGGCAACGCGCGATTCACACGCGCAGGACTATATCAACCGCATGAGCCGCATCAAGAAACGCAACTTGGCCGGTTACGTCCCGAGCCCCGAGTCGATGTGTAATCCGCTGGAGCTGGTGAACATTCGTACGTACCTTTTGGCGACTAACGATCTAATTGGCTGGTAACTGTGGACCATGATACTATTCCACATACGCCACTTCCTGCGTGCGGACGAAGATGTTGGCTTCAAGTGCAGCCAGTTCCTGCCAAGGTTAACGTCGGTAGATGGATTTGGCGCTGTCACCATGCTTGCCGTTACTATTAGCGGCAAAACCGATAAGAAGGAACCGATCGTGCTCACTATCTATCGCGACGACCAGTGTCCTCAGCTATGCCTTGTGCGAACTCTATTAGCCTAGCTCAAATTGTCTCAGCATTCTGGCGAAGGCAGCTTGTTCCCGCACGACGACGATCCAACCAAGTTCTATCCGGCGGCGAAGTTTCAGATCAAGTGCCGCGAAATATGTCTGAAGGTTACTGGGCGACAAGGCCCATTTGCAATGCACTGGCTGCGTAAGACTGGCTGGCTTTTAGGCACTTGGGGCGGCGCATCGGATGTAGACATGCCACACGCATCACACCACAAGACACTTGAAATGGCTGGTCGCTACAAGCAAGACGCACAGTCCCTTCTTGAGATAGCACGAAATCAACGGTATGAATCCATAATTACTTGTACTAACATCTTGCATGGTAGCGACAATCGAGTATTACAGTACATCCCCAGGTGGCGGTCAGTATATGTTGCTAACTTACAAGCTGCCGCTGGTGTCAACGTCGACTGTTCAACTGACACGCTGCCCACCCTGGCAGCCAACTTTTTTGACGACATGGTGAAGGCAGGTCATTTAGCCGAAGCCGATCTTTCAAACCCTATTGTTGTGGCCAATGCGTGCCTCGAAAACACGCGCGGGTGGGACCTGAAGACCGAAGTCGAAGAACTACAAAAACAACTAGAAAGCAGACTTTGCGGGCGACGGTCGGCGTTTGGTCCAGCTACTTAGACAATATCACTCTTCCACAACCGCCATTCACCCCCCCTGCGATTTGGATATCGATCCTAACGTGCCAACGCCACAGTCAACCTCGAACGACCTAGAGTCCGAATCATTTTCAATGGACACATCTGCAAACGGTAACACATCATGTACCAATTACAGTGATGATATTATGC